CAAAGAGAGGTCTTCAGTCTGTGAGAGAACGACTATGATTGCATAGTACTGTACCTGTAAGCCGCACAAAGAGAGGCTACAAGTACTAGTAAGTAAACATGTAAGGAAGCATAGGTAGTATGGGACTTACTCTTCAGTCTGTGAGAGAACGACTGAAGAGCAGAGGCCTGCAGAGTCCTCCTTATATACTACTGGGGAGGACGATGAGTAAGCGTATAGGAAGAGGGCATGTGACGTCCAGAGGACGCTGACTGAGCGATGAGTAACGCTGAGTAAGGGAGCATAATCGACATAAGGTCAGATAGTCCATGGCTGAGTAATGCGAGTAATCCGGACGCTGTCTAGAATAGTCCGGAACATTGTAGAACGTACCAGAATCATATGGAGGGATGGCAGGATGCCAAGTAAGTACAGAACAAAAGAATGTACGTATATGGTAAGTAGGAAAGTCCATGCTGGCGTATGGTAGACGCACAGCCACTATCACTGCCACTCCCGGTCCGGCACAGCCGTAGACACAGAAGTTCAACAGGCGACGCCGATGACGGTGATGGGCGTGCAGGTCACTCCGACGGGGACGTCGACGCTCTGCGCGTTGATGCCGACGGCCGCGAGGAGAGCCGACACGGCCGGGTCGTTTGCCTGCCGGCGGGAATGATCAGGGCGTTAGCTAGTAGGCACTCGGGGAGGTAGGGGGTGTATCAGCATACGAACCTTCTGGACGCTGTTGCAGCACTGGAGCGGGCCGGTCGAGCACTTGCCGGCGGTGCGGGTGTCGAGGGGGGTGGCGGCCGCAAGGAGGGGCAGGGCGCCGAGGACGAAGGCAGTGAGGCAGAAGGAGATCATGGTGGTGAAAGTGAGTGAGTGAGGGTTGTGTGGAGGGACTGGAGTGTTGAAAGAGTGGAGATGACCGTTGGCCTGAGGTTCTCTGGCCGCGCCGACCACCTCTTTTATACTCGCAGGCTGGGTGCGTCCCGCGCGAGGGAGCGGGCGACCCGCCTGACAGGCCGACAGGTAATTGGGCTTGGTCGAAGAAGGGCGAAGCCAATACGGTGGTTTCGGGGGCTCCCGGTGTGTCGAATATCACTGGGACGCGCGTTGGGGGACGGCGTTCTACTGCCTAGAACGGCTTTGTACGGTCTTCGTTGTGGCATGCCCGCCCATCGACCAGGTCCGCCGTCGCGATCATTGGCTGGTTCGCGAAGTGCACGGCGAGGTTGTGTCGTCGGAGTGGAGTTAACGCGGTGGCCGCGACTTCGACGACGCATCGGCCACCTCCTAGGTGTATCGATATCAATTTTTCATAACTGATTGATGTTAGTCCCTTCCTGCAGAAGTACAAGAGCTTGTCGCAAGATCAGTATACAAGAATAATGATTCGAACAAATTAACAAAGAACTTCGTACCTATGTACACCTCAGTAGCGGTATCGGGGAGGACTCGCGCAGTCTGAAGCTGCCCCTTCTTGTACTACCTACCTGCAGATGGCAGCATGTGCCGACCACATGGCGGGGGGCACAGTGAACGGAGACTGCACTGACGCTGAATTCCTGCTAGTGATCGTCGGGTGTCAAGATGGTCAAACGTCTGCAGCGCTCAACGATTCACTTGTGGCACTGCTACGGGCGGGCTGGAGAGGGAGACGTTGAACACGCCCAGAGCAGAAACACATTGAACGAGGGGTGAAGCTCATAAGTTCCTGGCCCTTTACTTGGCTGTAGACCATATTAACCCGGGGGTCGTGCGAGGTAACATATATATGCACAGCGTTAATTCGCAGTAAATGGGGTGGGATTGACGGGAGTCGCACAAGACGTCCGATGCGATGAAGCGCTTCAAAGGATGGTGGATTAAACTAAGAATGAATACGATAGCGATAGCTGACTACGGGACTGTTCGAGATAGGACTACGCCCTCGAGCTTTAGGACACCATGCTAGTCCTCCTGGTAGGTAGGCGTCGTGCCGATCCCTTAGAGGGTGACGGGGACACAGCCGATGCTGATGAGGCCGCCCTAAGAAGACACCCGCGAGGTCAGTACTGGACCAACGATGTGCGTGGGAGCTGTACTCACGTAGCTGTTGTTCTCGCAGCAGACGGTGTTTGCGGAGCAGCTGTTACCCCCGGCACCAACGACCGAGATGGGGTCGCAGGTCAGGCCCACCAGGACGTCGACACCCTGGACCACGACGCCGAGCAGGCCAAGAAGCGCGGCCGCGGACGGCGAGTTGGCCTGTGCTGAAGTGTTAATACCGACACGAGGCGGTATGAAGAGCAGAATGGCTTACCTGCTGGACGGAGTTGCAGCACTTAATTTCGCCGGTGCTGCAGGTGCTACGGGGAATGACAGCGGTGGCGCCGACGGCGGTGGCGGCAGCAAGGGCGACGATAGCGGTGGCGACGCGGGCGATCATGGTGATGATGATATGCAAAAAAGCGCGAAAAAAGAGCGTTGGGAGGGCGAGAGAGAGCTGGAGAGCTGAAGAGAGTGGAGGTGGTAGTCGACGGTGGTTGACTGCAGACCTCGAGCGTCGCCCCAGGGGTTCTTATACCTCGTCGCGCGCCCGCGCCTCCCTACGCATGCCCGAGCGGGCCGTCGTTGTTCGGTCGGTACGCGAGAGACGTCGGTGGGGTGCTGCGGGCGCGCGCCTGGCGGAGGAGAGGGGGGTCCAGGAGGACGGCGTGCCGAGTGCGATTCGAGCCTCGCGCCGCGTGCGATCACCCCTTCGCTCGTCACCGAGTCCCCGGCGCGTAGTTCGTCGCGGGCGCGGCGACACAGAAGAGGAAGGTGATGCGCCTTCTGTGCGCGCCGATGACCGCGGAGCGAGTAGCAGGAGGCGGAGGGCAGAGGGCACGCGGCAGCCCCATTGAATCGGGGCGGGAGGCATCGAAGGGGGGCGACGTCGCTTCGCCCGATTTTTGGAGAACGTGTCAGGGTCGGGGGACGCGGGGCGAGAATTCGAACGAGCCTGAGTACGGCGAGCACTGGCAGAGTTGCGGGAGCGAGCAGCGGGCGGTGTCGATCCGCCGACCGAGGAAGCACCACCGAAGACCGTGCCAGGATGCGGCGCTTTTCTAGAGCGGGCGTACGATCGCCACACTTCGCGCGGCGAGGGAGCAGCGAATCCGGCATTCTCGTCGTTTGTTTAGCGTGAAGGCGTAGTAGGGGCCATGTTCGCGGCAGTGGGCAGTACGAGAAGTTGTGCTCGGACAATGCGTGGTATCCATCCATTGATGAACAGGTTGCATCTATCTAGGGACGACGCCGTGGTCCGCCCCGACCGACCCTGCAAAAAGTTTCAGTACTTGCTCGCCCGAAGAGAAGACGTCGGACACACCGATGCCATCGAGATGTCACATAGGATCCCGACGAAAAGAGGGTAACATCGAAGCGTGCTCTGCGAATGACGTGAGAACGAGCACAGGTAGCCCGCCGGTTTAGTACCCTCCCCTCCGTTTTCTGTGCTGAAGCGAGAGGGAGTGCACGAAGGTGTCGGGTGTGCCTGTATGCCGTCCTTTTCGGCAATCTTCGCCCGTCCTCGCCCGAGCGAGCGCTACGCCCACCACGGAGTGGCGTTACAGAGTCTGCAGCACTACTATTGCCGTTGGCCACCATCGCAGTGGATGGAACGGCGGGGACACCTGCCTCTTCGCATCGCCTAGCGAGCTTGGGGGGTACCAATAAAAGCGTCAGTACTGCCTATGGCTCTACGCTGCGATAAGAGACTCACGTTATTATCTTTCAATAAGACCGCATTTACTCACCGAACAACGCCGCCAGAGACAGCTTTGGGAACCCGTCGACTGCGCGCAACCGGCAAATTCGCCGCAAGGGAGGGAAGAACGTCATGTTCATCGTTTGTGCCTAACGCCGTCGGCCCTTCCCCAGAACCCCGTGCAGGGACGCCACCTGCGTGCGTGCGCGGGAGAAAAGAGCCCGACGCCCGCTACCGCTTGACGTTTCTCCATGCCAGAGATGAACGCATACGAGCTGGATGTTGGGATACGCATCCGGCGCCGCAGACTGGTGTTGCTAGCCTGACGCGCTGAAGAGGCTGAACCAAGCTAGCCAACGCGGATCAGGGAGTGGAAGACGAGGCACATAGGATGGTCATGGGGGGTCTGCAAGCTCAAGCCTCAGGCAGAACCGCTCAGACAGGCTACATGGCGCATAGACGCAAGCCCGAGCCAAGCTCGTTTGCGACTGGTAGCACCTTCGTTCTCACGTCCTCAGGCCAGCGACACCGACAGCTGTACGGAGTCGCCCGTGGCACTGGAGGACGTCGCCTGCCCGGCTATGAGTCGGTGGGGGAGTCAATCTGTCGCATTAAACGAGTATGAGGTATGAGGCGCAGTGACGACAGACATGATGCGCTGCCGACATGATGCGTTTGGCGGGCTAAGGTGGACCCAATGAAGAGGCTTGGGAGACCATTGCGGCGTATTGTTCACCAGGAGGCCAGTTGTCCGTGTCCGCTGCGGGCCAAGGCACGGCAGTTGCCCAGCGCAAAGATGAAAGCGGGCTCCACGGCTCGAGTGCGACGATCATCGTGGGGCACCGGACATGAACCAGGAAGCCCACGGCGAAAGAGACCTGTTCGAAGCAACGAGTCGGACGAATGAGCACGCTCCATAGACGGTCATCCTCGGGCACCGGGCAGGCCCCCCAGCCCGGCAAGAGGACTACCCACCCGCGCTCTATTTGTATTGGACGCGTCCCGGCCGACACCCACCGACAAGCGTGGAATCCCGCGGGACGCGTCGTGCAAATCTGACCTTATCCAGGCGGCGCGTCCGCCTTCTCAACGCGAGTGCTCCTCCAAGCACAGGGAAATCTTCGCCGCGGGGTTTCGCTGAATGGACTGTGGTCGCGTCTGCGAGTGCACCGCAGCTGATTTTTCGAGGACGACGCGGTTCGAGGCGCACCCGGTAACCCTGTGTGGATCAAAGGGCGAAGGCGAGTCGGGCGAGGTCGGTCCTCCGGAATCTCCGGGCGCACGGAGCACGCACTGCACCCTCGCTCGTCAGATGGGAAGGACTGTCATCGCGGTCGTAGGACGGAGATGGCGTACCATACTGGCGCACGATTCCGTCGGAGATCAAGGCCTCGCGTCATGTGTGTCAGATACTGCACAGTGCGCCAGCTGGTGGGGGGTGACAGGAAGACAAGGATGTGGCCCGTTCCTAGGAGTGGCTTGTCATGGGTGACTGATGGGGCGCGAGGGTGAACGGATGTCGAGGAAGTGGGTGCAATGCGCTCAAGATGAAACAAAGATTAAATTTCAATAGAGGGTCACCGGTCAGCAGATGGACAGCATGAGGCGTAGGTAGACCACCATGGTGGTTAGCTCGAGGGAGGTGGGCGTCAACGACGCGAAATTACGTCGGCAACTTCCGGATGATCCCGTTATGGCATGCGGAGTGCTGGAGGAGGATGATCCAGCCTGGCCTCGACGTCGACGGTACCGGTCGGTGGAATGTCCTCCACTCCTTTCATGTCCGCACGCACGGCGTCAGCGATGCCCCGCTCTTCTTTTCATCCTTGTCTATTGTTGGCTTCGGCAACCATACAGCCGTTTACAGCATAGAAAACCTTCAATGACGCGTTCCTCAGCGAGCTTGAACGAATGCTGAGCGTGATCTTGTCGCCTCGTCTGTCTGTGGTATGTCCGATGCATGCCATTCTTCGCCTATTATGATTGGTCCCGTTCATCTCGCAGCCCACAGAAGTCGCTGCCTCTACCGCGATTAGCTTCGAGGATGGCATCCAGCACTATTTGTATCAGACTGCGCGGCGGTGACGCGGAACTTAAACTCAAAGACCACACTGTCCAGCGAACAGGGTCGATTCGAACGGGATCTCACAGGAAGTCCTCCGCCCCTAGCGCCCATCTGCCCATCTGCCCCATGTGTACGAAAGGCCGACTTTTGCACGGCGTTTTCGTAAGATCCGGTCAACGCCCCAAACAACGTTTGCAAGAATTTCGACGTGACGCCAGCTAGCGGTACCGCCTCTCCCGGCCTTCTGCTCTTCTGCAGAACTCTAACGCTCGATCCTATTCAACGCCGGATCCGTCGGGGGCGTACCTGTCCGCATGATTGCCTTGACTGTTGCTCCACTCGAGCACCTGTTCATCGGCGTTTCGACGCCTTCGACGCCAGCTGGGCGAACATTCCGCGCTCGCCACACGTCAAGCTACTCGGGACATTCGTCCTTCGCTGGGTCGGGCGCCAGATCCAGCGGGACCACGAGCTCGTCACTCACCGTCATGGCCGCGTAGATCTGACATAGCCAGCCTGAGGAGCCGCCCGCGCAGGGGTATAAAAGCTCTGCTGCTCGCTGCTCATTCTCTCCAAGCAGCAGCATCACTCTCCCGCTTACTTCCCAACCGCCTACAACTTTTCAAGCTCTCCCAACCTTCCCCATACCTCTCGCAAACATGGTCGCTCGTCTCTCCACCGCCCTCACGGTCGCCTCCATCGCACTCCTTGCTGTCGCCACCCCCAACGGCAAGCGCTGGGGCACTACCACGGCCAGCAAGCCCCAATCCACTCCGGCGAAGACCGTTACGGTCACTAAGACCGCACCGGCGTCGGGACCCACCGAACCCGCCAGCTCGTGCTCTACTGGCCCCATCCAGTGCTGCAACTCCGTTCAGAGCGTAAGCCGCTCGATTAATACCATCATGTAGACATCTCTAACCCCATCTTTCCTCACCTTCAGGCCAGCTCCCCTGCCGGTAGCCTGCTCCTGGGCCTCCTCGGGGTTGTCGTGCAGGGTGTGGACGTCCTCCTCGGTCTTGACTGCTCGCCGATCAGCGTCATCGGCGTCGGCGGCGGCGAATGCAACGCCAATGCCGTGTGCTGCCAGAACAACGCTGTCGTACGTGTGCCTCTTTGTGCTCACCATATACAACTGCTCATGCATTTCTCATAGGGCGGCCTGATCTCCATCGGCTGTGTCCCGGTCATCCTCTAAACGAGCATGCACTAGTGGCGGCGACGTCTTGGGGAAGGTCCTCAATATAGGGCATACGTTGGGACACTGAATCGTTTGTAGTTGTGGTTCTGCTGTTCGGCTGAAATATGCCAGCATGCTAGTATGCGCTGTGTCTTGTTATATCGGATTCGAATGCGGTTGCTTTCATCAATACATGCCATAGTGATCGTGAACTTGAATACGCTTTGGATTTTGCTTTCTCTTTCGGCGGGTTATCAAATAAGTACCTTTCACCACTAGTACTTCACCACCATAGCCTGAGTGAGCGATGACTATTGCAAAGGTGTCGAAAATTATGCCTATCCGCGCTTATTCTAAGATACCTTCCATATACGAACCAACTCCATCAAGGATCTTCGTCACTGCCACCGCGCGGCTCCTTCACTATTCCTTTCATCCCGACGACGACCATGACCGTATGTATCCGCATCTATACGTGAATTAAGGTCGTGACACAAACTTGATGCGCCTTATTGCGCAAGCTCACCGTTACGCTGCATCTTACAACTTTCCCCACGGGGTCTTACCGTTGCGTAGAGATAACTGAGAAGAAAAAATCCGCCCTACCGTTGCGCGGTCGGCGTCGAGGAGGCGAAAGGTGGGACACAATCTAGATCTTATCTGGATGCGCTTACATAAGATTCCCAGCCTGCGACTGCGAGCGTCTCAGTACGAGGAACGCTACCAAGTTACTCACTCCTCCTACTATCGTTCCTCTGGCTTGCAACTGCCCCTACGGGTCCTGATACACTTAAAATGTATGTCTACCACCTTACGGGTGAGATACGTTTCACAAGACGGTTTTACAGCTACGGGGGATCTTGCGCCCCGTGGGCCGGGCATTACTTACTTACACTGGCCAGGTCTGAGTGCGTGCAGTGCGGAGAAGTGCAGACGTGTCTCGCGCGCGCGGACTCAAGTAGCCCGCATAGTAGTACCGGATGATTCGCGTGTTACGAGGGACTCGCGTTTTACGAGGGAATTTACGCAAAGTTTTGCTCTAACCAGGATCGAAGTGCTCCCTTCGACAGCCTGAGGTTGCTAACGGCGGTCTCGCCGCTCCCGTACGCCTCGCGCGAAGTTGCAGGTGGAGTGAGAAGTACACCCTTCAGACTCACAAGGGGAGCCCGTGCGTAGCACGGGCACAGACGTCTAGTGTGGTACTATGCACCCTCGCTCTAAATCGTCGGTAACACCCTCGTGGGACGAAGCGCTTTTTTGTGAGCCCATGGCATGATCTCCATTGCAGGTTGTCGCAGACATCTCGGAGCGCTCCGCGCCGTCGTTGGACAGGCTGCGTCTCTTTCACCGGGCCTACTTATGCCCTGCTCGTCTACTGCTTGCCATCGAATGCTTTCATAGACCCATCGCCTGAGTATAGAGCGCGCAACCACGCTGAGAGGATCTGTAAGTGGGTGCCATAACATACTGCGCTCGAAGGCTTCCTGACAGCCTTTCCGCAGCGATTACCTCCCCGATTGGCCCCCTACCACAGTGGGACTCACGCACGTGAAGTATATGGCGCACAGGGCAGTCAGCACGCACCTGCGCGTCCGTTACCCGAAGTTTCGTTGGGGATGGTCGGTGGCGCCGTGCACTTGCGTGTCCTCGGCATGCCATGCATGCTCGCATAACCGGGATCCTCAGGCGAGCAAGGTAGACTCAGAATGACACGCTCGTCGGGGACGCCGTTCTGCGGACGCCTAGGGGAGCATGGCCGAGCGTATATATGCGATGTTGCTGCTGGTATGACCTGAAGCACACAGGACCTACCCCAATATCGAACCTACTCGCTAGCTTTAGCATGTCTTTCACCACCATCCCACAGCTTATGAAGGCCCTTGTCGTTCAACCCGTAAGTATCAAGTATCTTTGATGTGCGGCATAACGAACTCAGCCCATTGTTCAGGACAAGACGTTGACTGTCGTCGGCGACCATCCCGTTCCTCCCATCGGCGAAAACGACGTGCTAGTCAGGACCGTCGCCGTCGCGCTCGGCCCGCCCGACTTGCTGGGTAAGCCTATCCCCACCGCTGTGGCCCCTTCTTCATGCATACTGACGAGGAAACTTCACCCAGCGCTCAAGGCCCCGCCGCCTCCCGGACTCCCCCCGATCTTGGGCTGCGACTGGGCCGGGGAGATCGTGCAGGTCGGCACGAATGTGAACTCGCGCACGGTGGGCCAGCGCGTCGCGGGATTCGTGCGCGGGGGCCGGTCAGCCGAATGCGGCGCGTTCGCGGAGTACGTCAAGAGTCCGGCGGACCTAGTGTGGCCAATCCCGGAGGCGCTTTCTTTTGAGGAGGCGGCCGCTATGAGTATTGGGTGAGCGCGTCTTAAGTACGGTACTTCGATGCTGCTGGTTCTGACCAGTCTCTAGGACGTACACATGCGCGCAGGCGCTGTACCACAAGGGCAGGCTTGAGCTCCCTCTCCCGGGAGACGACGTTCCGGAGAGGGATGAATGGGTGTTCATCTACGGCGGCAGCTGTGAGCATACCTCCTCCCACCCGGATCCCCACGCTGATAAGTCCACCCCTCGAAGCCTCGTGCGGACAATATGCCATCCAACTCGCGCGCGCCTCAGGCTTCAAGGTCGTCACCACATCCTCCCCACGCAACTTCGACCTGCTCAAATCCCTGGGCGCGGCCGCCGTCTTCGACTACCACGACCCCGCGGTCGTCGACAAAGTGAAGGCCGCGACGGGTGACACCATCCGGCACGGGCTCGACGCGATCGGCCAGCCCGAGACGCAGGAGCTCTCGCAGAAGGTGTTTGGCCCCGCGGGTGGGAAGCTACTCACGTTAATGTGGGCGAACAAGACGCGCGTGCGAGAGGACGTCGAGCTGAAATGTAAGTCGACCTACATCCTCCTCTTCATGCTGGACAGAAGTGTTAATGTCTGGCTTATAGTCACACTGGTGCACACCGGACTTGGGTTGGCGATTGATATGCCTGGAGCCCGCTTCCCCGCGTCACCGGAGGATACGGCGGAGATGGTGACATTCGCAGCGACTGTCCCGCGGCTCGTCGAGCAGGGCCGCCTTAGGCCGAATCCGATCAGGCGGTTGGCTGGTGGGCTTGCTGCGATCCCGGAGGGGCTGAAATTGCTCGAGGAAGGAAAGGTCAGCGGCGAGAAGATCGTCCTTGTCCTGTGACGTGCTTGTAAACCCTGTGCGGGCGGACAGTGGTTTACGATGTGTTCCTGGTAGATTCCCGGTGTCTCCTCGTGCGGACATCCTCAGTCTTTGGGTGCGCGCGAAGAGAATGTAGAGCAAATGTCAGATGCATGCAATCAGGATTTAAGGAGTGTAAGTCGCGTGCGATGTCTAGCTATGTCCGCAGGCATGAGTAGATCCTGAAGTCCGCCATTGTGTCTAAGGAATATCCGCTGGTGTAGTGGTGCGCACGTCTATCCATGCAAATGTCCCCAAGTCCGTGAAGTCTATATTACGCGCCTACTGCGACGCCGCGCCCCTTCGCGTATCCTAACCAGAGAAGGAGCGAGAGGTATGATAGGGCGAGACGTTATAGGATGTTGACTAGAATGAGCAATAATGTAGCAATGGAGCCACCAAGAAGTCCGAAACGTAGTCCACCTGCGCTTGACACCACAAGCGGTCTGGCCTCCCTGGGCGATACTCCAGGTGGCGGTGTTGGCGTCGGTACGTCAGAGCTTGTAGACTCCGACGAGGGAGGCGTCGACGTTGGTGAGCCTGAAGTCAGAGACCCCGAGGATATCGCAGTCGTGGGCGTCGCAGTACTGGATGTCGCGGTGGTGTTGGAAGTCATAGACTCCGAGAGAGCGGATGGGGGTGGGAGAGATACGGTGACCGAGATCGGGGGCGCGGTCGTGACGGTAAGCGTACGAGGAGGATCTTTGGCCCCGGTCGGATCGTCGGGGTTGAAGATGGTGATGGTACCACTGCTGCTCGACCTGTCGTCGTGCGCGCTCACTGCGTTGCCAAGTCAGGTCTTATCGCGCATAAAAACTTGCAGGAAATGTGCACGCACGGAAGATGGCATAGTCGCTCCGCGTAGGGACTGAAGGCACGATCACATTCGCCATCTGGTCTGTCAGAGGAATCCAGTCTGTTAAAGGTTCGTCTGCAAGGTGTTCGTGTCAGGTCAGGTCTGCAGCTGGAACCAGGTAGATTCACTCACGCCTCAGCAGTGCTGGCTCGGTCGTCTCCGTCCAGTACGCCAAGATCAGGAGGGCAAGGACCGGCTTCCCCGAAGAGTTTGTGGTCCGAATACCATCAACGCTCCTGTTCAACGCCGTCTGGTCAGTAATCACCCAGACTATTCCGAGTCGCAGGAAGAAATTAAATAGGTTCAAACGATTGATGACTCACCATTCCACCGTATGCAGCTCCCCAACATGCCACACATCCCCTTGCCTTGGAATGAGGACAGGCGGATTTGGATCGTACGATGGGTACGACCCGCCCCACGACACTACAAACAACAGTACCACCGTCAAGAGCCCGCACGCTATCCCGATCGCCTTAACAATGAGCTGCCCCAGCCGCGACCACGAGAGGTCGAGCTTCATGGTGCAGATGAGTGTCGACTAGCAGTGCTCATCGACAGTCTCGCGGGTGTAAGGTGCAAGGAGGAAAGGATGGTGTTCAGAATCTGCTTACGGCTGGCCATAGGCTCAACACCGAAGGCACCCGCCGCCGAGTGCACACCTATCACGGCCTTCTCACTTGGCTATCGAGCTCGCCGGTTGGCGAAGTGGAGCTATCAAGAAGGTCCGCGCCGGTAGGATATTCTGGCGGGATCTATGCGAACAAGCGGGGCGGATTGCGGTCTCGAACGTGAAGAGACGAGCGTTGGCGCGATCGAAGTGGCATAGCCACTCGTATATCCCCCCCGAGGCGACGGGTGTCAATAAAGGCGACATGAACGGCTCATCTCGCCTGGGGCTATTAGGAAACGGCTGTTTGCAAGCTATCAGTACATATTGCTTCATGCGTATCTCATACACCTTCTTTCCGATCCTCTCCAGGCCGTCCTTTCTTGGCTTCGTTTAAAATCCTGCCTGCGCTGCCTCCCTCTCTGCCAAACTACCTCTCGGGGCCCATGCTCGGACATGCTCATGGCTATGTGCGTCCGTCCCGTTATTTTCGTCGGAGGGAGCGCCCCACGCACCTGCGCCCGGAGTCTCGATAAGCAGGTGGTCGCCCTTGCCCATGAAGACTGTCGCCTTGCCCCCGATGTTGATGTTGCGCGGTTTCAGTGGCTTGCTCGAGTCCTCCGGCGCGTCCCCATCCGATTCACGCAGCTGCTTGACCCATGTGTTGCGTCCGAGTGCGCCGGGCTCGCCGCCCTCGACGCCGTAGGGTTGCCTGGTTCGTCTCTGCAGCATACATCAGACCTCAAGTTCTCAGAGGACAGAAAACGCGAGTGACTTACTTCGGAAAGTATGGATACCTGCAGGGGCTCTAGGAACTCGATGTCGCGCACGACGCCATCGCCCCCGCGCCACTGGCCCTTCCCGCCAGAGCCCTCGCGGATCCCGAATTGGTGCACGATGAGCGGGTAACGGCGCTCCAGGATCTCGACGTCGCCGATGCGCGTGTTCGTAATGTGCGTGTGCACGCCGTCTGTACCGTGCCAGCCAGGGCCGGCGCCAGAACCACCCGCGATCGTCTGCAGGCGACGGACATGAGCGTGTGGACGAGAAGAGCGAATGTATGCGAAGAGATGTACCTCGTAGTACCCCCATCCAGTGATGTTGTTGCCGTCCTTGTCCTTGCCGCCCGCGCCAAACGTCAGGTTGCTAGAGGGTTCGTTAGAGGTGCGAAACGGGGCGACGATCGTAGGGCGCTCACTTCGTGCAACCCTGACTCGCAGCACAAGCATGGAACGCCTTGAGCACGACATCGACGATGCGTTGGGATGTGAGCACATTCCCACCGCAGACGGCGGCGGTACGCGAAGGTTGGAGTAGGGAGCCGTCGGGAATCTTCACTGTAGCACGATGTTAACGCGTGAGCAGGTCTATATGTTCTGTGGTGCTAACCAGTAATGGGCACGAGGCACCCAGCGTTGAGAGGGATGTCCATGTCGAGCATCGCACGCATACAGTATATGACGGCAGAGTGAACGACGGAGATTGGGGCGTTCAAATTACCACGGACTTCGCAGCCGGTTCCTTCGAAGTCGAGTACAGCAGAGCCGGTCTTCTCATCGATATCAACTTTCAGCTTGATCTGTGGGATTGCTCTAGTCAAATTGCAACTAGACATGTATTGAGAGATGGATTTACCGGAGAGCCATCGTCAAGGTAGTCGACCGCCTCGAGTACATTCGTGCCCGCGCGTTTGGCAACGTCGCGAAGCAGGTTGCGGACCGAGGATTCAGCATTTGCACGAATGTGGTACATGTATTCCTGCACGGTCTCCAGGCCATAATCATCCACGACTGCATCAAACAACTATCAGTATGAGTCGCGCCCATCGCAAGGCACGCGCAACCTACTCTGCTGGATAAGCTGGATGCCCTTATGGTTCGCCGCAACTTGCTAGAGCGAACGCATCAGCATGCCGCCGGACGATAGCAAACCGAGACACCTACCGCCTTCAAGTCGCTCTCCACGTCCCTGAGGTTCCTGCACCCCGAGCTGCCGGGGTACTGCGCGGGCTTCGTGACCATGTAGTCCACGAGGCCGTCATGGTCAAACACGCCCTCGCTGACGAGTTTGAAGCTAAAGATGTGCGCGCCCTCCTCGAAGATCGTCGTCGACGTCGGCGGCATCGACCCGGGTAGGATGCCGCCGATGTCCGCGTGGTGCCCGCGCGACGCGGTGAAGAAGATGATCTTCTCCGCCTGCGCGTCGAATACCGGCGAAATGATCGTGATGTCGGGCAAGTGCCTGCGTGTATGCGGGGTGTACTTAGGCAGCGAATTAGAAGAAGGCGATGGGATGGACGTACGAGCCGCCTGCGTGCGGGGAGTTGGTCATTAGGACGTCCCCAGGCTTCAGTGTCTTTCCGTGAAGCTGCATCTGGTACTTGACCGCGCTGCAAGCCACCAAGACGCATGTCAGTCACCCTTCAGTCTTCTCCTGCTGCATAGGGTACTCACAAACTCATAGACCCCAAATGAATCGGGATGAACGGCGCATTCGCGACAAGGTCGCCATCGGGCGCAAACAGTGCGCACGAGAAGTCAAGTCGCTCCTTGATATTCGTGCTGATGGCGGTCTGCTGGAGGGAGCGGCCCATCGCCTCCGCGACGCTCATAAAGCGGTTCGCGAAGAGCGTGAGGAGGATCGGGTCCGGCGGGTTGTACTTTGTCTGCTCCGACATGGTGCGCAGATTTTGGCGGGTGTTCCGGCTTGTGGTGGGTGCTCTCGACGTTCAGGTAGAGATACCTGCTATCCTTCGGCGGATGAGATGAGAGGGACTGCTATCGGAGTGACTCTAGCAGTCGGGGCGGGCGTTTCGGATCGGCGTTCCGCGCGTTCCTGCCACGAGCGATTGCGACTTGTCTTTGTCGACGCTCGATCCGAGTTCTCTGGGGCTCCCTGGCTTGGGAATGCAGACCGCGATAGGAGAAACAACGAGCTCGACATCGAAGGCAGCGTGCGAGGGGAGCATGACGGTGGAAGTCACATGCAGAGAAGGCGGGGCGCGCGTCGACCCAGGGCCATCGCCGCTACTTGGCACTCAGCCTCCGTTCCTCCTCGACCCTCACGTCCACATCCCCGCCGCCCTTGACAGTAGCAATGGGCGATTCTGCGACGTTGACCTCTGTGCTCGAGTCCCAGACTACGCTTCTTCAAGAAGCCGCGCTCGCGCTCCCCCATTCGTTCTCGCAGTGCACCTACTCGCTCGGACACATCCGCCAGGCCGTTTACCTCTGTCTTACCTGCGCTCGCGCGTCCCCCTCATCTACACCTCGTGGAATATGCTCAGCGTGCTCCATTGCATGCCATACCGACCACGAGCAGCTCGAGCTCTTCCCGAAGCGCGGTTTCCGCTGCGACTGCCCGACGCGTGCCCTCGCGCATGCATGCACTTTGCACACCGCTCTCGAAGAGCCCAATGAGACGAACGTATACGGGAGCAACTTTCAAGGCGTGTTCTGTCGGTGCGGACGCCCGTACGATGCGGAGAAGGAGCGGGAGACGATGATCCAGTGTCTTGCCTGTGAGGTGCGTCTCCGTGTTCGTCGCGATATCCGTGCTCACCCTTGTCTTACACGCGTCATAGGATTGGTTCCATGAATCATGTCTGAACCTCCGCGAGCGCCCGTTATCGCGCGAGCCTACCCCCGCCGCGGAACCCGCAGGAGATGACGGCGCGTCGGACGCGTCGTCGTCGGGACTACCCCCGCCGCTCATCCGTGCGGATGACTATGACGTCCTTGTATGCGGGGCGTGTGTACGCGGGATCGACGCTCTGCGACGACTGGCGGGCACCCCGGGGGCCATGATGGTTGTGCGTTCTTCCGAAACCGAACCATGGCAAGTCGTCGGGCAGGAAGACACGAAAGAGGCTGCGTCGGTCGATATCGAGAGCAAGGATGAGAAGCCTACAGAAGATGTCTCGAATGTTCCCGCCGCGGGAGAGAAACGCGAGCGGTCACCTACGAAGGAGGGGGAACCTCAAGCGAAGAGGGCGCGGGTATCTGCAGAGGCGGAGACCCCTCCGCCATGCTTGGCCCCTCCTCAGGACCCTAGGATATCCCGTCTACTGTCCGATTCACAGCCGAACACATCTAACGATGACGCGCCAGCGTCCTTACCTGGGAGTGCTGAGGAATACATGGGGTGCGGAGACGTCTTTCTCACCGAAGGGTGGAGAGACCGGTGGTGTCATTGTAAGAGTGTGAGTGTCTTGGGTTTTCGTTTGGGAGATGTGCTAACAAATCATTCAGTGTCATCCATCGCTACAATCCCACCCGTTCCTGTTGGAGGAGGAAGAAACATACGAACCCCCGGAAGATCCGGATTCCGGTGCGCTCTGAACGCAGTGTTCTCTGCTCCGAAGCTAATCTGTATTTGTCTTAGGTCTGTCGCTCGAAGAGCTCGGAATGCGCGCGCTGCAGCGCCTTCCCCGCGAGAAAGCGCTAAATGGTATCATGGAGTTTAACGCCATGCGGTGCGTGCACTTTCTGAATACAGGCCAAGTCGTACGCTGAACAGAGTCCAACAGCGACGACCTCATGAAACACCTTCGCCCATTTGCAGAGAATGGCGAGGAGGTGAAGGAGGCGGATATCAGGGCCTTCTTCGACGCGCGGATCCAGCAAATCCGGTCGAAGCGACAGTGACTCCCGCAAGCCCGTCCGATCCTGTATACTCGTGCCAAGTCCCCTGTACTGTAGAAGGCTATTGCAACGCACTTTTTCCCGGCGCCTCCTGCCCTGCGCGAAGGTCAACCGCCCGCTGCGACCAGTGCGGAAGTTCGGGTGCTTGGTGTCTCTATTTACGACCCGCGTCCATGGACGAGACCCCGTATACGGCACGCCGGAACGGGTCGGGTCCCCCGATGTCTCCTGAAATGCCGTACTCGCCCCTGGGCTCTGGCCACAAGCGTGCGCTCGTCGTCGTCCCGGCCAGGCCAACAGCGAGCAAGCCCCTGGGCCCATCCTCGCCGGCATGGAGCATGTATGCTGCCGACGCGGAAGCGCTGCGCGCGAAGGAGGCCCGAGCGCGCGAAAGTGGCACAACACGCGGATGTCACGGGACCGCAGGGTGCACGTGACAGGACTTGTTGATCGTGAATAGGTGGAGGGTTCAGTTGCAGCCACGACCAGTCGCATCTTGTCCCCCGACCGCTACCATCCCCTCCCTTTCCTCCCCCGCCCCCCGCTCGCCATCCGCAATGCCCCGAAAGGCCGCTCCCTCTGCCGACGCTGGTGAACCCCGCCGGTCCTCCCGCATTAAGGACCTGCCCAAGCCCGTCGAGCCTGCTCCAAAGAAGGCCCCCGCCAAGCCGCGCTCCAAGAAGGAGAAGGCACCCGCCGCCGACGGCGAAGAGAAACCTAAGTCAACCAAGGGCCGCAAGCGTGCCGCACCTGAGAAGGATGCCGAAGACGCCGTGAACGGCGACGAGCCGCCGGCAAAGAAGGTACTACCATCCATCCTCCTCATGTTCCACGCCGCTGACCCTAAATCGCGTAGGCGAAGCCCGCCTCGAAGGCTGCCGCTAAGCCTGCAAGCAAGGCCGCATCCAAGCCCGCGTCCAAGGCGTCGCGTGCAGGCTCCGCGAAGCCCGCATCGCGGGCACCCAGTGCTAAGCCGGCGTCGCGCGCGTCGGCGAAGCCCCCATCAGCAGCTGCGAAGAAACCTGCTTCGCGCGCGGGGTCCAAGAAGCCCGCATCCAAGGTACAACGTCACGCAATCCTCGCGGACGACTCCGGAGTGCTTATCGAGCCCCCTAGGTTGGCGCCGCCGAGAAAGAGAATGACGCTGCTCCCGCGCCTGAGACCATCGCTGAGGAGCCCGAGGCGGAGGAAGCCGCTGAAGCTGCCAACGAGGATGGCAAAGACGCGGACGCGTGATAGTTCCGGTAAGTCGCATGCAAATTTTACTTGTACCGTGCACTTACTCATGACGTGGCCCGAAGACGCGAACAACGCCCTATGGGCAATTATGCAATTCCTTACACCTCTCGTCTCCTGCTGTCGCCGCCTCGCTTTTTATCTCTTCTATTTAAACTACCCGCCCCGACCGGAACCCTACCACCCCTGCGATCCCACTCGATCCCCTCCCCTCCTGATCTCTCTCCCTGGAGTTCCGCGGACTTTTCTCTGCCCCTCGCGCTGCCGGGCTCGGTCGGTGCGGTGGCGCCTGTACATACGTCTTCCCGCGTCCTGTACTCTTCTTTCCCGGCTTTCTCTGCGTCTGTGCGTCGTCTTGTCGTCGAATGCTGGTCTTTACTGCTTTCCTTCGGCTCGTTTGCATGTACTGGCGCTGTTAGATTACTAGTGTTGTTTTACTTTTCTGTGTGTACGAATGAAGCAGTTTCCCTAATCTCGAGCCATCGTCCGCGCATGTTCAGCCCCCGATGAGACACTCTGCCTGGTGAGCACGCCACTGACGAAGGGCAATGCGTTGCATGGACCTGGGCAAATCAACAGTCTTGAATCTTTGGGCTGTCCTTGTATCGACATACAAAACTTGGCAATGCTCGACCATCGTGGTGCGATTGAATGACATCATTGGATCTTGTTGGATCTAATTAATAACAGCGTGCGGGTTCATGAGATGTACAAATACAACATGCTAGAGAGCCGTGGCGTAATCGTAAAGAGATGGAAAACAGTACATGCTACGAAAACAGGGATGCAGAGCGATGATTCAGATGCAGTGGCACACATGGTCAAATGTCCGTCGTCTACACGAGCCGTCTACCAGTTGTTGAGCAGCGTCTGGGCGACCTCCTGCAACGAGAGATACATCAGATCAAATCTCAACAAGACGCCAACAGGAATGAAAGACGCACCTTCAAACGACCCATATTATGCGCCAGCGCGACGTTCACAATCGTCCTTAGCCGCCGCTTCACCTCCGCCTTGTTCATCGTGAGCTGGTAGTTGCCCGAGCACCCACAGTGCTTCGCGACGTTGTCCGACCGCAGCTGCGCGCACCGCGAGCAGCGCAGGTCCTGCTGCGCGAAGCGCCGCTCGGCGTCGCCCACCATGCGCACGAGCGCGAACTCGATCGCCGTGCGGTCGTACTCGCAGTCGCAGCGCGCGCACAGCCAGCGCGCCCCCGCCGCCGGGTCGCGCGCGGACGGCAGCAGCGCGGGGTCCCGGCAGAAGTCGAAGTCCTTCATCGCGTCGCAGTGCTGGCACGGCACACTCGCGAGCTTGAGCGGCTCGCACGGGTTTTGGAAGGAGGCCTCGGGCGCGAACTCGCGCACGCCGACGAGCTCGAGGAGAGAGCGCTTGAGGAGTCCGACCTCGAGCGTGTGCTCCTTCGCGAGAGCGAACACCGCGCATGCAAACTTGGCGAACTCGAGCCCCGGGTTGGTGAGATGGAGGTGAGAGCCTGGTAAGACGGGGAAGTCCCACTGCACGAGTGCACTAGGGTCTTCGCTGGTGAGTGCGTCGCGGTGTCGGTCGAGGACTGCGCCGAGCATTCGCAGGGTGCGTCGGATGAGCTTGCGCTGGACAAACTCGCGGCAGGCGGAGATCTCGTTGGCCTTGGTCACGTCCAGCTGTGTTGCGTCTGGGGCCGCGTTTTGAAGCGCGCGTAGAGGTACGCGGGTGGCTCCCTTGCACTTCTGCGAGGTGCGGAAGAACTCGACGAGGAAGTAGCGCACGAGGGCGCGGAAGTCGGATTGGATGGCGGGGGGAAGGAAGGACTGGATGTTCCAGCGCATCTCGATAGCGAGCTCCTCTGGGGGTTCGATGGCAAGCGGGTTCTCGCAGACAACCGCGCCGTAGTTGGCCTCATCCATGAATATGAGAAAGTCGTAGAAACGTTCTGTGTGGAGGTAGACGTGCTGGAAGAGCTCGTGGGAGGTGACTGCGGTGGTAATGTACGTCGCGTAAGCATGTGCAGTTCCGGGTGGTTTGGAAGTGACGAGGAGAATGCGGCTGAGGTCGGCGTAGACAACATGGGATCCGAGGCGCTTGAACTCCGCGAGCATTTGGATAAACGTCTTGCGCATGAGTCCGTGGATGAAGCGATGTATGCTGGTGTCGTACATGTGCGACGCCGTCGAGCTGATCCATCGCCAGAAGTGGTCGAGCACGGTAGTCGCCGGGCTCTGGAAGTTGCCCTGGATCTTGTCCAGCATCCACGTCTTCACGAGCGACTTGAGGATACTGAACGCTAGCGGTGACACATTGGACTCGCCCAATGTGAGGTCTTGCATAGCGTCGCCCTTGGAGTATTCGTCTAGGGTGCGTGACGCGTCGAAGGCCGTCGCGCCACCGCTACCTTCGAGTTCATTGACGATGACGGAGTGCAGCACAGCGTCCACCGCGAGGTTGCGGACTGTGATCTCCAAGCAGACGTTGGAGTAGCACCCGGGAGATGTGAACTCGGTCTTGGCCAGCTCCTCCTGCGGACGGTTGTCCTCCTCGATACCACCGAGGTCCGGTCGATCGCCAGGCGACCACCACAGCACGACGTCCTGGCTCATGAGCCTCCGCGCGAATTCGACATCCGCCAGCAGCAGCGGCTTGTCGCCTTCGATATGGCCGACGGGAATGTCGTAGTAATCGGCCTGTGCCATAGCCGTGTCCAGCCATTTCCCGAGAGACAGGTAACGGCTGACTAGCTTCTGCGCGACGCTTGTCTGCCACGGGAAGACATCCAGTGAGTGGGCGGATTTGGTCTTGTTCATCGACAGCACGGGGAACTTCGACAGCTTGGGTGTATGCAGGTCGAAGTAGCTCTGCTCCTTGCTCGAGGATACGACCACGATGAAAGAGCGGTTCTCGACGAGTCCTAGCTCGCGAGAAATCGCCTTGAGTGCGGTCACATCGTTGCCGTGATAGGTCGAGGTGAACTGCAGATCCTCGGGGTACGTGTAGGAGATATACGGGCCTGTCTTGGACTGGCCAAGGAGTTTCTCGTACATCTCGCTGAGTCGGGGGATCGGCTGCCGGCGAGTGGCGGGGTCGACGATGTGGAGCTTCACGCCCTCGCCTGGAATGAAGAGCGCGAAGACGTGGACGGGGGCATTGTTGGAGCAGGCGTGGTAGAGGAAGATGTACTTCCCGTCGGCGCCTTCGTCGAGGTACTTCCTCTTCGATTCCGAGGGCTTGGAACGGCTCAGCTGTTGTAAGTCGAACCCAGTGGTCTCTGCGCGATTCAAGGTCATGGTCTTGTCCTCATTGAAGCATGTCTTCCCCAGCTTCAGGATCGAGCGCATGACGAGCGGCAGCTAGAGTCTGTTTGAGCAGGCTTGGTCTAGGTCACACAAGATATAACAGCTCACCTGAAATTCATATACACCGTCAACGTTAGGGTCATTGGTGATGTCGATGAAGTGCTCCTGGCCGTCCACGTAGAGGTCTTCCCGCACGGTGATCTTGTACAGGTTGACACACTGGCGATCGCGAGGCAAGCTCCGCACGACCTTCTCGCACTGGTACATCTCGTGGTTGAACTGGTCCTCCTTCGGAGGCGTCCGCAGATGCATGTAAAACTCGCGAGGAATGCGAAGGGGTACCGCAGAGAGCGTCCCGTCCACCGAGAGCCACAGCGTGAACCGACCTGGGGTCCTGTTCGGGCGGATCTGGACAATGTCCCAGTGCGTGCTCTGCTTCGTCCGGACGCCGCGGAACATGGAGGGCATGACGGTCCCGTCACCAGAGATATCCCCTCGCCTGTGGCTCCAGCGCCGCTTCATGACCTTAAGCCACTTGCTGTAGCTCTTGTGCACATCTGGCAGAGGCTCCGCGAGTAGCTTATCCGCAGGGGTCTCCTCTGGGGTCTCCTGCCTCCGTTGTGACTTGCGGTACACCGTCGCAAGACGCGGAGCCGAATCCTGCGTGCGCTGCGTCATCGTGTCCTCGATATCCATGCTGTCGCTCGCCACAGGCTTGGGGGCCGCCTTGAAGAAGTCCGTGACCTTGTGCTGGTGGAACTTGTCGTCCAGCGCCGCGACGCGGCGGAAGAGCCAGTCCGGGTGGCGGATGCGCGGCACGGGGTTCGTGACCTTCTGCATCGCGGCGGGGATGGTGATGAGCTTCTGGATGACGGAGCCGAGCCGTTCGATGTAGTAGTCCCAGTCGAGGATCGAGCGCAGCTCGAAGTTCGTCAGGCTGTTGTCCTTGAGCCACTTGCGGAGGTACGTCCGCTTCACGCTCTCCTCGGCCGAGAAGATCGCGACGGGGACGGCGCGCTCGGTGACGGGCGCGCCCATCGGCTTCGAGGAGATGATGAACTTGCACGCGAGGCCCTTGTCCTTGACCATCTGGTCCCCGAGGAACTCTGCGAGGCGGCGCGCGGTGCTGATCGACGTCGACTTCTGTCCGCCGTACTCGGCGAGCGTCTTGGACATGCTGCGGTTCTCGGCGATGAGCTCGACCAGCTCTTCATCCGACAGGTCGTCCGCGTGGCTGAAGAGCACGTCGAGCCAGCGGTCCGCAACTTGCGCGACCGCGGCGTAGCACTCGTCCAGCGTCGACCCGAGCAGGAACTTCTCGAAGATTTGGCTCTGGAAGATCTTGATGAGCTGCAGCTCGCCGCGCCGCTTGACCTCGAAGCCCTTCAGCTCGGCGAGCGAGCCGTCGTCGTTGAAGACCGCGTACCGCTTCTTCAGCAGCTTGTCCTCCTCCTTCGACGACGGGAGGATCATCGCCTTGTACGGCCCGTCGAGCTCGAAGAAGATCGAGTTCTCGCTGTGCACCATATACTCGCCCGCCTCGGGGTCGAGCTCGTGGTACTGGTGGTTCGTAAACTCCGCGTGGACGAGGTGATTGAGCATCGTGCACGGGTACGAGAACGCAAGCGCCTTCCCGTTCGCGAGCTTGAACTTGAAGTTCTCCGGGAACACCCCGGGCAGCATGCACCAGATCCCGTCCGTGTCGAGCTCGAGCGGGCGGCCGATCTGCTCGACAAGCTGGCGCGCCATCTGGATGATCTTCGCGCCGGTGAGGCAGGTGATGCCCGCCATCTCCATCGAGTGCCAGCGCGCGCCCTTGCGCATGACGTACCCGTAGAACGAGTTCAGGATGCACTTGTGCGCGAGCTGCAGCGAGTCGTACAGCACGATCATCTTCTTCGCCTCGTCGACCTCTGCGATCGAGCGCTGCTCCCCGACCACGACGTCCAGGTTCTTCTTCCACGTCTTGTGCAGGCCCTTGTACTCGTACCGCCGGTCGCGGAACCGCCGCACGGTGTCGATGTAGAACGGGTTCTCGCGCTGGCAGATGATCGCCTCCCGGGTCTCGATCTTTGTGTCCTTGATCTTCTTGTACACCCGCCGCGAGTAGTCGCCCAGTCGTTTGTGCAGGAGCGCAGTCTGCTCGGCCTGGGGCAGGTCATTGAACTTCCGCTGTGGACCGCCTGGCTTCTTGGGCGGGAAGCTCTCCTGGTTGAGCGCGTGTTTGATCATGTTGAACTCGTCTCGCCGCGCGGGGAAGAACTCGCCACGCCACGCCCATTGCAGCTTGCGGTCGCACTCCTTCCCAGGGCGGTTGAAGTCGCAGACCGCACAAGTCGCCTCGTTGACGACTGAATCCGGCTGGAGCCGATTGGACAACATGATGTTCGGATACATTGCGGCGACATCCAAGTGGTAGATGAGCGGTTGGTCCATGCGTTGCGGGTTGTCTCGCATCACTTCGAGTTTCGCTTGGACCGCCGCTTTCACCTCGTCGTAGTTCGTGACAGCCTCCAGCGAGGACTTAGACTCTTCGACGATGCAGAAGGTCAATGCGGCATCAAGGTCGTCGATAAGCTACCAGAACATCAGGTGAGTGCTTGTCAGGTTATCGTGTCGAGATCCATACCTTCTGTACGGCAGATGGCTCGATCTTGAAGTGGGTCTCAATGTCGCTCCGGAATACGCCAGCCTCCAGCGCCTCGACGTGACCACCGACGTAGGTCTCCGACGCGAGAAGATGCCCGTCGTACATGTTCCCGTGGGACTCTTCGTGTCTGTTGGGCATGATGATCTGACCTCGGAAGGCTTCCACCTGTGAAAGAAGGGCTCAGTTGAATAATTCAGGACAGTGCAATGTGGGAGACTTACCATGAGGAGCGTCTCGCACAGAGTGCCCGTTCCCTTGCGCAACACCTCGTCCGGGCAAAGCGGGATAATGTTACACAGGGAGAAAATGAAGGGGTGCAGGTACTTCATGTAAAGGTAGTACGTCGCAACTGCATCGGAGACGGAGTACTGAGCGAGAATCTGCGGATGCTCGATGGCGTATCTAGAGGTGCATCAGCAACGTGTAGAGCGCATCGCCAAAAGCAACGTACGGCGTCATCAACTCGGGGTCGAGTTCAATGGGGTTGTAACCCAGCTTCGCAGTCGTTACAGCCTTCAATCCCTGACTCCCTTGCGGCAGGTACGAGTCGCGCTTGACCCAGCGGAAGCAGTCCATGTGAACACATGAACGACACTTGTACTCGTCTTCGGAATCTATGGCGAACCCGATCTCGAGGAACATGTCGATCCCGTGCACCTTCGCGCGCGCTGCCACGAAGGGGAAATCGAAGAAGTCTCCGTTGAACGTCGCCATGACCGTAGGCTTGACGTCCTGGATGTGAGAGAACCACCGCCGGATGACTGCAGCCTGTTACTGGTAAGTGTATTGTTCGTATGCCACGAGTGTCAACTCGACAAACCTCGTCTGGCTCGTTGAAGACCGTGAAAGGCCCCTCATAGCCTTCCTTCGGGGTGTACTCGAAGTCGTCAATATCCTCGCTGACGATTTCGCGGTTGGTGATGAGGAAGCCCTGCCCGTCGATCATGTACGAAATCATCATGACCTGGTCGATTGCCTGGTCGGGGAACTTGAGCGGCGCCTTCGTCGTCTCGATATCGTAGGCCATAACGACCGGGTCCGCACGTTTCACGCGCTCCGTGAGCAGCTTGAATCCCGGCTGCCCCGCGGTGAAGGACACGGCGTACCATAGACCGACACGTATATCGTTGTCCATGGCGACACGCAGGTAGTATGGGACGTCGTATTCACGAATGTCGATGATACCCTCCCGCGGGTCCTGATCGCGAACCCCGGTGCGTCTTGAGGAGCCTCCACCAACGCCTGCAGCCCATTCGCCCTCGAGTTCGATATTTGTCGCAGCAGCAGCAGTCGCGTTGACCACTTCCGCGTACGCGTCGACAGCGTCGAGTTTCGCGCTGTTAGCCAGAGCCAGGGGCATGATGTCTCTCCGTACGGTGAGAAGGTCCGACACATTCCGGAAGTGTAGCTGGAGATATAGACGAGTGTGACCCATAAGGTGGTTCGGCATTTGTAGGTCTTCTTTCCTCTCGCGGGTTATTCGACAAATGGCACCTTCGTACTTCTTCAGAAGCCATTCCTCAATCACTGTTTCCATGCCGCTCTGCGAGAATTGTCAGTAGACGGATATAGAGGATAGAGAAGGAGGCGTACCTTGCACGCGATGTAGAAGTAAGGCTCGTATTGCAGCGTGCATTTAAACATGCCGCCGTCGTCTTGAATGAAGTAGAAGTCGACGGCAGCTTTCCCGCCAGGCCAGTCGGCATCTTTCATCAATGTCTGCAATTGCGTTCAGACGCGACGCGACTCGGACGTGTCTGCACGGTGCTCACTGGATGCATGTTAATTAGCCACCCCTCTCGTAGTGGGCCCTCCTGGACACGGGCAAAGCCCAGCTTCTCGTCGACCTCATCGTTCGTCTTAACCTGCTCGAAGCGTTCCGTGAGCTGGTTTCCTTCCTCGTCGCGTAATGGTTGCGCGTCGCTGGGTACCCCTCCACCACCGCGACCGCGTCCTCGTCCTCGGCCTCGATACGAAGTGTTGCTGTTGCCTCTGAAGCCACGAGATCCGCCACGTCCTCCGCGTTTAAACGAGCCAGATGATCCCCGAGCCATGAAGAGAGACCGAGACGGGGAGATGGAGAACGAGAAGCGTGAAGGTGGAAGCTCCTCGGGCACCGCGCGCTTGCCAGAAAGTAGCTGTGACGCGTCGCGTCGCCTTGTGACTGACGCCAACAATCACAAACCGTCACACATTCCGCGGCGAGGCCCGGCGTCTACCGGACCTCCGCCAGCGCCCACTCCGCCTTGGAAGATGAAACCCATCGTCTCGTTATCTCTGGGATATCTAGTATGCTTGTACTTGGGGATTGGTATAAAGTACATATTCGACTGTCAGCTGCGCGCGGTGTTTAACTCCGGTAGATTATTATTATTTTTTTTTTTTTGCGGTGCAACATAGATCGGACTTTCAAAAGTACGTAGACTATGCCTAAATGCAGGTTTTGGAGGGAGTTACACCCTAGCACCGTACCGGAGGAAATGCGTTACGCACACAACTAATCAAGCTAGCTGTAGTGTGGGACTGCACGTCGCCAGTACGGCTCTCACCATCATCCGTGAGAGCCCCAGCATGACGGCCTACCCACTAAAACCCCCTTGCTATATATCCAATCATCAGGGAGGGCTTCTTCGTCATGCAGCACACCTCCCCATGTCTTGAGAACACGCTGCCGGGTCAGCTTCCGTTTTGCAGAAGCCGGCCGGGCTAGCGCCTTGTCCAGTTCCAGCCGCTGCTGGACCGCGTTTATCCACCTTCGTCGTATCTCCGCGACGGAGTGGTACTGTTCCGGGTCGCCTTCCCGGCCAATCACCCGTTCGCACCGGATTTTCCATACGAGGTGGCACGACTCCGTGAGGAGAATGCGTAGCAACCTCGTCCTCCCGACGGTGTTCCTTGGCTCGGACCCGGGCGCCGTCAGTGCGGGTGCCGCTAGAAGGGCGCCGAATGTGAGCCGCGGCACCACTACACCTTTCCTAGAGAGTACCTCGGTGGCGGCTCGCCAGATTTCAGACTGCCCCGGCGCGTCGCATTCGAGCAGGATATGCTCGAGCGACTCTGGGACGCCGCAGTGCATGCACTGCGCGCGGTGCTCGTAGCCAGGGATCTTGTCCCAGAACGCGCCGACCCGCAGCGCGCCGTGCATCGCCTTCCACCAGAAGTCGCGCAGCGTGCGGCGGACGTCTTCATGCCGTATCGCCTTCCACAGCGTTGCTGGGCGGAGCGCGATTGCCCAGTCCGCGGCGGCAGCGTCCACCGCCCGCCCCACGGTGAGCGCAGTTTGTTTTCGTTCAGGGCGCGCCCTCCACTGGTGGATACCTAGATACGCCAGCCGCTGCGTCAGTACGGGGAGCCGGACACCAGAAGCAAGATGCTTAGCCAGCGTCTGCGGCAGCGCGCAGTCCAGTTGCTCCCCCAACCGTGTCCCTTTCTCTGCCAGGGCGTCCGCCCCTTCATTCCCCTCGATCCCCGCGTGCCCCTTGACCCATTCAAGCGTGACAGGCGCGCCGCGCACGCGTAGCCGCGCAACCGCGCCCCGCACGCGGTCTGCGTTTGCGACAGCCAGCCAGCCCCGGTCTTCCCAGGCGTCGAGGTGCTTGGTGAGTCCGTCCACCACGAGTTTTGAGTCCGATTTGATCGCTAGCGGGGCGCCAGCGGGTGCGATTTCAGCAGCGAGTGCGACAGCATGGAGCTCGGCCGCGTTGTTCGTCTGTTCTGCTCCAGGCACGCGCGCCGCGGTGTTGCGCGCGTCGTCGAGACCGAACCAGACACCCGAGCCTGCAGCGGCCGTCCCCCCAGCCGTCGTCACGCACGACCCATCCGTGAACGCATGGGTCCACTCCAGGCTAGTACGCAGAGGAGGAGGAGGCGCTCCGAGTTCAGCGACAGAGGGAGGAGCGGGAGGGTCGTCGTGGCCGCAGGTGAAGACGCGCAGGGCGTTGGATAGAGGGAGGGCAGTGGCCCGTGGCAGTCCAAAAGGGGTACTGCCGCCCGTGAGTCCGGCCGCCCCGGGGGCGCCTCGCGTCGCAGCGGCCGGGCCGTCCGTTTTAGGCGAGATCGGGCCCGGCCTCCACTTCGGGGAGATCTGCCGCAGCATTGCATCTGCGAGCGTCGCGCAGCGCGGCGGATTGGCACAGCCGTGGGCCTCACGGTCTTCGCAGCAGTCGTCGCATCGGCAGCGAGCTCCAGAGGAGTGCAGCGCGGCCAGAGGGCCTGGCTGGGGGTATAGGCGGCGTGCTACCCGCAGGCAGTCCCCGACAGTGAGCACCCCGTGTCGCTCGCGCAGGCACTTAGCTGACGGCGAGTTTGTTTGCAGTCTGTTCGACACCAGTGCCGGATGAGCCCACGCCGGCAGCGCGGTTTTCAGACCTTCGGAGGCTTCATGTACAGATAGCCCAACCCCATACTTACGAGCCGCCCTCACCATCCTTGCCAGGTCCCGCGGGAGGCCCCCTTGCGGCTTAGTATTAACGTCCCAGGATTGGAAGAAGGTTGTCGTGGAGTCGCCAACGCCTCCCCTCCTAGGCTCTGCCTACGCCCACCAGAACTCGGCCCAGACGCCACAGCACCCTCGCAGCACCTCAGCATCCGCCTCCCTCCCCTTAGAGCGCCTCACACAGCGCCTCTTTTCCATCATCAACCTCGCCGGTCCGCCCCTGCCTAGCGCCCTTACGGGCGCCCTGCCTCCCGGTATCACCGGACTTCCATCATACTCCCTATGTCACTCCCTACTGTCGTGGAGTCGCCAGC